GAAGTAATTGTACCGGAATTGTGCTTTAATGTGTCGGAAGGTTTATACAGTGGTGGTGATTTTCATCCCACTTAATCTTGAAACGAGTCAGTCGGCGTTTAACAAAATCAATGTCACTGAATGCGACCTTAATTTGCACCCTCTTTCCGACATGGCTGCTGCCTTCCGCTGCTTTGAGCCATTACCGTACTCATTTTCACCGGCCCGCCTCGCTCGTTATCGGTGTCTCAGAAAGTCGTTTCCTTTCTTGCCCGGCGTGGGAGCCCGCCACCTGCCGTCCTTCTACCCGGGACGGTTCTTCCTTTTTGTCTGCGACACGGAGGCGAGCGCTTTCCCGGGAATCGCCGTGTCAGAATCCCCCGGGACGTCTTACTGCATCGGCCAAGGCATCGGCCGAATGTGCTACTCTATACAGCTTAGGGCGGGGGCAGCGGGGCCGGCAGCGCAGGGCAGGGCAGGGCGCCCGGTGGCCTTGTGAAAGAGCTTGCACAGCCCAGCACAGCCTGGAAACGGGCTGACGGCGGCGGTCCTATTGCAGGCAGGGATCTACGGAGACAACGGGAACAGGAGCGGCAGATTGAACAGGATCGGCAGGGTCCCTCGGCGGGATCAGCGGGATCACGCTGGCCGCCGATCCGCTTTCCCAGGACCGGCACCAGCGCGGCGCCACGTTGCGGCCCTCACGACCGCCACCCGGCTCGCGGGCCGGGGGCGCCGGGGGCCTGGGCCCGGGCCCGGGCCCCTCCAACGGCCACGGCCCCGCCAACGGCGCCAACGGATCCACCAACGGCCCCGGACCTTCGAAAGAACACAAAGAACACAACGGCATCCTCGCCGCCTCCACCAACGGCTTCGTCAACGGCCACAGCCACACCATCGGCCACGCCAACGGGCACGCGCAACCCGGCTGCTCCTACACCGCCGACGCCGCGGCCCGCGCCATGACCATGGCCAGGAGACCAGCGCAAGCCAGCACGTCAAGAGAACCACTCCGGTGACAGTCCGCCTCTGCCCCGGGCCCGGTGAGGACGTAGCGGGACGTAGTGAACCCAGGACGCGCACCTTCCCCCCCTCCCCCGCACAATTACCGCTCGCACTGCCATGACCCTTTGACCGCCCCGCTCCACCCCCTCGTCCGCCTAGTGGCGTAAAGCAGCATTGTAAAGGGAAGGTGTGCGGTTTCAATTCGTTGATGGCGGCCGACAGAGAGACCCTCCCCTGCTGTCCCCTGCTGTCCCCTGTGCGCCGCGTTTTCCAGTAACGAGTTGCTCTCTCTCTCTCTCTCTCTCTCTCTCTCTCTCTCTCTCTCTCTCTCTCTCTCTCTCTCTCTTTCTCTCTCTCTCTCTTTCTCCCTCTCTCTCTTCCTCTCTCTCTCCCTTCCCCCGTGTGTGCCTGTGTGTGTGCGCGCCCACGCCCATTCACGCTGCATCTCGTTAGTACGCACCCCTCGGGAGTCATGGTTATTCGCAGTCGGTTGTTATTCGTCGTTCGAATCGCAATACGAATCCCGCGCTGTATTATGTTCGTCATTCGATCGAATTGCAATACGAACCTCGCGCTGTATATGTTCGTCGTTCGAATTGCAATACGAGCCTCGCGCTGAACATGCTCGTCGTTTTAATTGCAACACGAACCTTGCGCTGTACATTCATATTCGTCGTTCGAATCGCAATGTGATCTTCGCGTTGTGTTCAACACTAGGAATGTTTTCCCCCGCGCTCCGCGGCGCGCGACGACGCGACTGGGACGCGGTGCGCTACCCTCCTCACCCGGGCGACTTGGCCGACTTGGCATAACCTATGGGCCACACCTGGGCCGCTCCGTCGCGCCCCAGTGCCGGTGTAACGGGGTCCCGGCCCTGGGCCCCCCTGGGGGACCTCCTGGGGAGTGGGAGAAGGGGAGGGGGTAGTCCTGTAATGCCGCGGTTTGCATGCAAATCGGGGCCGGACGGGCCGGGCGGCGTGTGTGTCCCTTTTGCATGTGTGATTCTGCGGCCAGCCGGCCAGCCCGAGCAGCCAGCCCGCCTGCCTGCCTCGCCGGCTTTAATTAACCAGAAATGGGACGACTGCCCCCCCTGCTCTTATTGGGGTCCGCCCCTCCAATATAACAACGCAGCGCTGCGCGCGTGGTGGAGGGGCTGCAGGCAGACTGATTCCGCGAGTCCCTCTCTGTCGCACTCGTGGGGCGTCCCGTCTAGGTGCGAGAGAGACTCTCGGCATCAGTCTGCTGGCTGGCTGCTCGGGCTGGCGGCCGGCCGCTTTGAGTCAGGCACCATTTTCATTCATTTAGTCGGCGGGGGATGCCGTCGTCACGCTCCACTGGCGTCGCCTGTTATTTCCAGGCGCGGCGCGCAGCCCAGCGCGAAGCGTGGATCGAGATAATATTTTGAATCCCGCGCCCTCCATCCCTCCCCCACACTCTTTTATCTCGACGTCGCCTTCGTCTTCCTGCCTTTCTCCGCGGTCCATTTGCTCCGCGTTCGTCCCCCTCCCCCTCCGCGGTGGCCAGACAGATCTCCGAACAAGGGATTATGACTCACCCCGTCGGGTCCACGCGCCGCGTATGGCCGCGTATCGATCATAAAATCTCAACAGCCCTGTCGGCGACGCACGCCGCGGCACTCCAAACCGCGGCCCGCTCAAGACATCACGCGCCCGACTCAGCGCTCGGCACGGCTGTGCTGCCGCTGCTGTTTGCAGTAGGGATGTTCGTCGTGTTCCCACGTGTTTGCCAAACAAGTCCAGGAGCTTCAATTTTGAGCCGAGGCCGCCGCCGCGCTGTGTGCTCGCCGTCTGTCCACGGCCACCCCTCCGCGACGACGGGGCGGGGCGGGGCGGGGGCAGCGGGGTGAGTGAGTCTTAGTCATCGGGGTCCGCCACCAAGCCCAGCTGTGGCGCCGGCGGGGCGGGGCGGGGCGGGGCGGGGCGGGGCGGGGCGGGGCGGGCGGACTCCTGCAGGGGTGTCATGTGTACCCGGCCAGCCAGTTACCCTGTGAACCGCGAGCGCGCCTGACGAGTCCAGGCAGCGCGTCGTGTACGCCGTGCCGCGTGTAGAGTCCCTCTTTGTTGTCCTTGTTCTTGCCCTTGTTGTTCTCGCTGCCGGTGGTGCGTTCCTTTTTCGAGTGCCTTTCGAGTCCCCGCACTGTTTGACGAGCGCGCCACTGCCAATCAGACGCGACGCATGAGAGGCTTCTTTGAGAGCGGCCGGTCCCTCCCTCAGAAGCCGCGTCACCGCGTCTCCGTGGCGACTTGCCTTTCACTCCGGGCTGCACTCTTCGCCTCCAATCATTTTTCGGCAACCCCGAGTCGTAGGCGCACTGTTAGAAGGAGGTTCGATTTTTCGGATTGGGCAGGGCCACATTAGATCGCATTACATTCACTCCGATTTTCCACGGTAAAAATTCCTCCTGGTTTTCCCAGGAACTTCCTGGAAATCGCCTATGCCTTTACCATTGTCTTCATGGGAAAACCAGGGTCCCTTTTCACCGTGTAGGTTCGGCTAGAGCTCGCTTTTCGAGCGTCTACCGTACTCGTCGAGAAATCAGCCTGAATGTGGCTCGGTCTTACTTCAGCCCCCTCTAACCTTCAAACCCTTTTTTGAACAGTGTGTGTGCAATGCCGGGCAGATAGACCAAGGCTGTCGCTGTCACCTCAACTTTTTCATTGATCGTTCATTTGTTTTTTTTCGTTTGTTTTTTTTAGGCTGTAGAGTTTTCACCCTTTCTTTTCCATTAGAGGGAGGGGCGGCAGTAGGACTAATTTCGCTGTAGCCGCCGGGGGCGCGGCGCCCCGAAAAGGCGGCACGGTGTGAGTCAGGTGGTGTGACGCATGTCGCGGAGGGGCGTATGACAGGCCGGAGGGGGCGGGCGGGGTCGGGGGTCGGGGGGGGGGGGAGACATCCATCCGGGGCGTCGTCGCGCCGTCGTCTCCTGATGGCTACTTACCAACTAAAAGTAGGACGGCGGCAAGACAAATCGATCTGTGTGACGTCAGCTCATCTGCTGTAATATGCGTCGGTGCACTGCTACCCCTACCCCCACCCCTCCCCCTAGCTCCACCCCTCGCGGCCGTCGGCGCGTGTCGGCCGAGGGGAGGCCTTCTGGGAACGCCGCGGGTTCGCCGCCCTTGAGTGACCCAGTGCCGCCCCGTCGCGCCCCGCTGCCTCCGCGGACAATGCCTCCTTTTTTTTCGAGGGTGACAGCGAAACAGCGTTGGTAATCTGAGATTCGTTTTGATTTTTTTTTCTTCTTCTCCCAGTTTGTCTTAAGTAAAAGTGGACGTTTTTTGACCGCCGTGCGGTTGCCGCCTCGTCGTACAGTCTCAAGATGATAGTGGCTTCCCCTAAAATGGGTAAGTCGGGGGCGGGCATGGCTCATGGCTGCGCTGAGGTAGCCGGGATAGGTTTGGCCCGGTCCTTTGTTTGTGGAAATGGCCTATCCCTCGGCCCAAAAGGGCGCCTCCTATTGGATGGCGGTCACGTCCCCTCACCTGTTGTGTTGCCTGGAAGGGCTGGAACGGCCTCCTGGAGCCTGGAGCCGGGCCTGGAGCCGGGCCTGGAGCCGGGCCTGGAGCCGGGCCTGGAGCCGGGCCTGGAGCCGGGCCGGCCCCGCTGGAACGAGTGAATGAGCACCGGCACTGCTAGCGCGCTGGCGTCTCGCTGTTGCAAGTGTCGGACACGGCCAGGGCTGGGATTGGTATTCGGCCGATGCGCCTCCGGATTTCTCTATTTTCATATATAGTGGTGCGGCCGCGCCCCGCCGCGCCCCGCAGTCGCACACCTGTCGTGCCCGGACTGCGGAACGGCGCCGGCCGAGCCCATTTGTCGGAAAACCCCCACTTATATTTCGGCAGCAGGTTTATGGTGGGCCGGAGAGAGCGGCCCCGTGTCAATCTGTGCTCGTTGATGGCTTTGTGTGTTTGCTTTCGAGGTGTGGACGCCCAGCGACCGCCGTGTCGGCTTGTGCTTCTCGTTCTGACGACCCCCTCTCCCTCTGTCGGCAGGTTCGGATCATGGAGCAGCGCTTGGCGCAGCGCCTGGTGCAGGGGCAGGACTGGGAGTCGGGCACCAACGCCGTGCATGAGAAGGACCAGGCCATCAACAAGCTCGAGACCCAGGTGGAGGAGCAGGTAATTTTGCCTTCGCCGCGTTGGCGGCGTTCGACGTCTAGTAGAGCCGCCCCGCCCTTAATGAGGCCCTCGAAGGGCTCCAAGCAAGGCTCCGAGGGCTGCAAGGGCCTTATCTGGGGCCGTTATGGCGGGGGCTAATGTGCTGCTGTGGCGTCGCGCGAGGCTGCCGTTACTTTGGCCCTTTTTACCGCGCTCCTTCGGCTTTTCTTGAAAAAAAAAATAATACATTTCTCTTTGATAGTATTTTAAAAGTACTGTAACTAATCCGTGCGACTGTATTCCAGCGCCAGCTCCGACTGCAGGAGGCCAAGCAGGTGGAGGCCAAGGCGGCGCGGATCAAGGAGTGGGTCACCAACAAGCTGCGCGAGCTGGAGGAGCAGAACCAGCTGCTGCGGGAGCAGAACCAGAAGTGCAACCACCAGCTCGAGCTGCTGCGCAACCACCTGGCGCAGACGTCCTCTGTGGCGGCCACCTTCCGAGACCGGCCGGGCGCTGTAAGTGTACAGTGTGGGCCAAGTAGGCCCGAAGCCTGGTGGAGGCGGCCAAAACTCTAGACACGTTCTCCAGAGTCGCTAAACGGGACTCGAACCAAACGTTTGGCCCCACCAATGGATTGCTCTCCGAACGAGGAATCCATTGCTGGGGTCACACGCTCGGTTCGAGTCCTGTTTCGCGACTCTGCAGCTAAAAAAGGCGTCTAGAGTTTTGGCCGCGTGTACCGGTCTTCTGGCCCACTGTGGCATGCCCCACGAGTGCGAGGACGCTGCCTCCGGCTGTCTCGGTTTTGTTTGCTGAAGTTTGTCTCTGTCCCGCAGAGCCCCTCGCGGGCCAGCCTCTGCCTGGACGCGGGCGCCGAGGACGGCCGGGGGTCGCGGCCCATGTCATCGTCCCCCGCGTCGCTGCTGATCGCCAACGCGCTCAACAGACGGCGGTCGGACAGCGGCGGATCCAGCAGGTACGCACCGGCAGGTCTGGCGGGCTGGCTGCCACCACACTGTTTGAACCATGAATGACATTCCTGTTGGTCCTGTAGATGTGGGAGGCAGTCCCCACGCCGCTCTCCACAAGTGACGCGACGCGCCGGTGGGCCGCTCAGTGCGGTGGAAACGTACGTCAGACTCATTTCGTGTAGCGAACCGTACTGCCGAGGGAAGGCGGTGTACTCTTTTCTTCGTGTTCTTTGCACCACATGCCGTTCTCACGGATCTCCTTTTTCTACGGCACTTTTATACTCCTTCTCTTTTTCTCTATATCTCTCTGTCTGTCTCTCTCTGTCTTCTATGGTGTTTCGTACTGCACGGACGTCCTGTAGGGACACTGGTAGCCTTAGTGCACTCTTTAGCCTCGGGGGACTACGTGTTCCGGTCGAAGAGCATGACACGGGGGCATGGGCTCACAACGTCGTACCAACACACGAAAGCAAAAACAAAGTCATTTGTAAAAAAATTGTTTCGAAACATCCAAGCACGGGATAATGTACATGCAGAATTAACAGTTGGCGGTGAATTCACTCGGCCTGTTTATCTCTGTCCGGCGAAAATGGTTGCTGTTTCTGACGTGTCCGTCCGCTTCCAGGGAGTCTGTGGAGGAGTCGGCGCCCGCCTCCCTCCCGGTGGAGCCGCTGTACTCCGAGGTGGACCCGCTGCACAAGAGGGCGGCCAAGCAGCTCCACCACCGGCGGCAGCTCTCCGCCAGCGCCGCCATGCCGCAGCACAGGACCACCATGGACTCGACGGACTCGTCCAGGATGCTGTCGCAGGACCTGAGCTCGGCCGTGGACGGCCTGGCCATCCAGCCGTCCGGGCGGAACCACGAGGCGCACGTCGACGACATGTCGCACGACTACGCCGAGATCTACACCCCGAGCCGGGAGCGCAGTCCGTGGGTCGCCGCCGCGGACGGCAGCACCAGCAGCGGCTCCGCGTCCGGCCGCTCCACCCCCAAGCCGCCCACGCCGCCGCTGCACCGGTTCCCCTCCTGGGAGTCACGAATCTACCAGGTGCGTCGCCATGAACCGCGCATGCACGGACCAAAAGGCTTTGTCGAGGTTAGCGATAGGCCAAGCTCGATAGCTGCAATCGAAAATGTGACACCTACAACTAAAAGCCACTAAAAGCTAGTTGCGACGACTGGGCACTTGGACGAGGAAAATTATCTCCAACTTAGTTGGCCTCGTACAAGTTGCTGGCTTGGGGACCTTATTTCCGTGTGGTGGACGCTCTCTGACCTCCCTACACGCGTTTGCTAAGGGAGTCACCTAGTTCTGACTGTCGTCTGTTGCAGGTCGCCGCCGAGGGCCTGCAAGTCCACTCTAGCTGTAGTAATCCAAATTCAAACGACTCTACCAATAATAATAGCAAAATCCCTTCGGGGTACTGTGATATAAGTGTTCCTGTTTACGCCACTGTGAAAGGGGTGAGTTTGCGTTTGGCGGCTTCGTTTCTCGTAATCGGTTTAGTTTTGTTATGTGTGCTTTATCGATGACATCTTGTTTCCCGGTTTTCAGAGAGCCAGTCAGATCCGGTCCATGCCGTTCACGGGGGATTCCTCGGACGATTCTTCGGACGGTGAGGGCGAGCACAATCACTTGATGGTGCAAAGTGGTGGCGGGAGCAGTGGCGTGGGCGGTGGAGGGTTGCACGCGATAGGGCACGAGGGACGGGCCACCAATAGTTCTAGTGAAAACACAGGTAAGTTGCATGCGGCAGTGTGAGGGGAGTCGGACGCACCTAACAAGAAACTGGTGGCGTAACTTGATTTCCAGTTTGTTCATTAATCGCATGTTTACGTCCGATAGAATCGTCAATATCCGGCGGATCTGGTTCAAGTCCAAGTAAGAGTCTAAAGACTACGTCGAGCCTGTCGCCGGCCAAACAGAGCTCTTCGTGCTCGCCCTCTAAGAGCATAAGGAGAGGTGAGTGTGGCTGCCTCTAATTCGCATGTCACGCTACGGTTGAAATATAATCCCAATGGCTTCAGTTAACTGCATGGCGGTGTTGCATTTCGCGCACCGGTGTAGCCTTTTTTGTTTTCTGTTGTTTCTAATTAACCTCCTGTTTCAACAGACACGTCCCTGGAGTCCGGCCTCTCTGAGGACTACGCCATACCGCCCGACGCCTTCTCAGGGTGCGAAACGTCCAGCATAGATTCTTCCATGCCGTCTCTCTTGATGCGGGTGTCCTCGTACGCGGACAACACCTTGGGGAAGATACCTCAGCCGTCCTACCCCAGCATCCAGAGAGCTACCGAGTCCCTGGAAAAGTCGGGCCACCTAGCGAAGCTGGGCGGGAAGTTGAAAACATGGAGAAAGAGGTGGTTCGTGCTGAAGAATGGGATACTCACGTACTGGAAGTCGCAGGTAAATATTTCGGACGGCGCTTTGGATTGCAAGTTTTGATTGAGTCACATTTTTGTGTGTCTGTCTTTTTACAGAGCGACGTTAATAGGAAACCACAGGGCCAAATAGTCCTGGATGAAATTTGTAGGATAAACCGTGCGGACGGTGCAGCAACCTTCGAGATCTCGACTGGAAAGAAAACCTATTATCTAACTGCGGATTCAATCGCCACCATGGAGGACTGGATCCGAATTCTTCAGGTGTGCATTTTTGTGCAGACTAAACTATGACGCGTTTAGGACACCTGGACTTTACTTATCTCATGACTTTGCTCCCTTTTCTTCAGAACGTCCAAAGGAGGAACGCCGCGAAGCTGCTCCTCTCGAAGGACGACAACAAGCCGACCATCCAGGGCTGGCTGACCAAAGTGAAAAACGGCCACGCTCGGAAGTGCTGGTGTGTCCTGCTAGGAAAAATGTTTTTGTATTTCAAAATACCCAGTGATATTGTAAGTATCCTTCGTTCCTTGAAGGCGCGGTGTTGCTGAACTGTTCCGTTTCTAATCAGCCCTGCCGCCGTTTTCAGAATCCCATCGGCCAAATCAACATGAGGGACGCGCGGGTGGAGGAGGTGGACCACGTCTCGGACTCGGACTCGGAGGAGCAGGACACAGAGGCCTCCGAAATGACGATAGGAATTTTCCCGACTCACCAGGGACCAACGTATTTACTGATGCCGTCCAAGCAGGAGAAGGACACCTGGCTGTACCACCTGACTGTCGTGTCCGGAGGGGGTCCGAACGCCGGGACGCAGTACGAGCAAATAGTGCAGAAACTCATGGAAACGGACGGTGATGCCAGTGAGTACTTGCTTGGTTTTCAAAACGATCGTGAAGCGCGCAGACAGACGCTTAACCACCTCCTTTCCTCCTCTTCCAGACAACGTGCTGTGGAGGCATCCCCTCCTGCTGCACAGCAAAGAGCCTATCAACTCGCCGCTCACCACTTTGCACTCGGCGTCCCTCCAGGCCGAGGCGATCAAACTGTTCAAGGTTCGTCGGCAGTCCGGACTGGGCTTCCGTCGCTCTGTCTCTCTCGCATGCAAAGGGACACCCCGAGAGCACTGTTCGGAACCATCCTGCAATGCGTTTTTCGATACGGGATGATACGGTTTAACATTGTGTGCTTCTTTCGGCAGTGCTGCCAACTGTTCATCTCGGTGGCACTGGAGCAGGCGGGCATCGACTACCACGTGGTGCTGGCCCAGAACGCCCTGCAGCAGTGCCTGGACATGCCGGACCTGCAGAACGAGCTGCTGTGCGCGCTCGTCAAGCAGACGAGCCGGCATGTGCACCACAAGGGAGGGGTGCAGGTAAACCGGAGTCTCAGCAAGCTTAAGCATTCGCGTGTAAGTTGGCCCGCTTCTTTTCCTTTGTTTGTTATACAGTAATTTTTGTTACTCGTATACCGTACCTGTTACCTTTGGTGTAGCCGTCGACCGTAACGACCAGATGTATAGATGTTTATCTAGAGGGAAAGAGACGTGGGTGAACGGCTAGTTAGCGTTTGAGTGTATAGACTCTAGCAAACTTTTAGTCGTGTCCCTTTCACGAGCACCGTTGTCGAAGTTTGTGGGGAGAGTTGCGGATTTGGTATCAATGTTCCGTCATTTTCAGCAATCCCAGAAAACTCGGGCAATAATTCGTGCGCTCAGAAATGTAAGTCAGACGAAGAAAAACAACTTCCATCGGTCGGTTGCGGGTTTCCCTAAAAACGCGGTCGCGGGCTCATGACTGAAATTGTAAATAAATAAAATAACTAACCACTGCGTCTAGCGAGCGTCACGCTACAAGGTGCGCGGGAACGCTCATCGCTAACACCGGCAAGTCGAAAGTCATTATCATTTTCTATCTTCAAGACGCGTTTTTGTTTTTATTTCTCAAAAAAAAATTATGATTTTAAGCACTGCATAGCTTTACGCGCCTCCTTAGATAGAAATCCACGCACATTTCATTTTCTGGTAGAAGAAGCATGTAATCCTCAATTTATCCTTCGGCATCGTTTACATTGTAAATTTGTAGTACCAGCACACTTTGCCTGTAGCACACAACCCCCTTAGAGTTACTTTTTTTCCACTTTTCTCTTCACAACGTTGCCAAAGACCTGCAGTATATTTGTCCTGTCCAGTCATGCACCGTGCTTAGCTTGACTCATTGCGTTGGTGGTCAGTGCAGGGCTACCCGAGTGGATCCCCAAATTTCCCGTGGGTTATAAGTTTACTCTTTAATTTCGGGAAAGGGTGTATGCAATTCGCACGTCTCATTTTATGATTCAGCAGGTTGCGTTTAATTGTTACTTAATTCTTCATTTTCATCATCATTTTTGCTCGCTGAGCTTTGGACGTCTGTTTCTGCTTGGTTGTGGTTCGTTTGCAGCACCATTCTCACTAAAACTCATTCTACAAAACACGTGCATCATTCACAAAATCTTACTGGTCATGGAACACAGCCATTTATATAGCCACATCATTCATTTCTCATTTCTTACATTATAAACCCCTTATTGCAGAAGCTACTTTTATTTCTCTAAAATAGAGCGTGTCCTCTGATTTATTTTTATTTTGGAATGCAACATTATGTCCTTTATCTGTCCTTTGCACGAAAAGTGGCCGCTAGAAAGTCCCTAGGACTGTAGTTCAGGCCAAAAAATTTACAATCCTTTTTTCCTGACTTGTAGTTTGAATCCATAATGGACAGCAATATTACCCAATTACTTAGATTTTAAATGCAAATACAGTAGCTGTTTCTTACGCCTGTAGACGGGCATATTTATTTCTTATTTTAAAAAAGGGGGGGCAGTTGTGATTGTCCCTGAACTAAGACTTTGTCTTCGAAATGACGATGAGCCTGCAATAAGGTTTTTCTTCTCCAACACACACTTCCTGGCCGGTTTGCAGCAATTGCTGTTGTGCGCAACCCAGAGCCTCTTCACATGCGACTCGTCCTCCGCGGCGTCCAACTCCCCCGTGGGGAATGGTGCCGGCATCCTGAACCACCTCCAGCAGGAGCAGCACGTCAAGGCGTCCGCCTCACCCCCGCCTACCCGCCACCAGGCTCAGTCCATCGTGTCCGTCTCCAAGGACGCGCACTCCTCGGCAGACCGGGCGGCGGACAAGGCGGGCCACAACGCGTCGGGCCAGGGCTCGTCCGCGCTGGACTGCAAGATCAACCCGCCGCCCTTCGTGTTCGTGCAGGGCTGGCAACTGCTGGCCCTCGCCGTGTCCCTCTTCGTGCCCAAGAACAACAAGCTGCTCTGGTACCTCAAGCTGCACCTCCGGAGGAACGCCGACACCAAGTACGACAGCGCCTTGCTCCAGTCCAGTGCCGTGTCCGCCGCAAAACCTTCGCTCAAGTTGTTTTCTTTGTTTTTATTGTAGGACTGAATGCGGCAAGTACGCGGCCTACTGCGAGCGCGCGCTCGAGAGAACCATCCAGAACGGAAGCCGGGAAGCCAAGCCGTCGCGAATGGAGGTGCTGTCTATCCTGTTAAAGAATCCGTACCACCACTCGCTGCCCCACGCCATCCCCGTCCACATGCTGAACGGCGCCTACCAGGTAACAAGCAAGAAACACGCTCGGGCGTTTCCTCTGCGTTCTGGAGGTTCCTCTCGACTCTACTTAAACACTGCTCTTGTTTTCAGGTTGTTAGTTTTGACGGCTCGACGACAATAGAAGAATTCCTGTGTACTCTGAGTCAGGAAATAGGCTGCCGAGACTCGTCGCACTCCGGGTTCACTCTGTTCAGCGACGATCCTATCGAAAAGGACCTGGAGCATTTCGTAGAACTGAATGCTAAGGTATGGTGTGCACGCCCGTCTCGGAAATTTTCGCTTTTTTTCGTCCGTGTATTTCGCCACAAACGCTTACCTATATTGCTTCTTTCAGCTCTGCGACGTGATTTCCAAATGGGAGACCGCACTTCGAGAAAAGGGGTCAGGCAAATTCGAAAACACCCGGGTCATTCAGTTGACGTTCAAGAATCGCCTGTACTACCGGTCATCCGCGCAGCGGGAGACTGACAGGGAAAGACTGCTGCTCTGCTACCAGATCAACCAGCAGGTCGTGCAAGGCCGGTTCCCCTTGAATCGGGAGCTGGCCCTGGAACTGGCCTCCCTGATGGCACAGGTGTGTGAAACAAAACCAATTCGGTTGTCGGAAAAACTATGTGGATTTGGTCCGGAATTTTACTTTAAATCGCGGCATTTTTCAGATCGACGTTGGCGAGTTCAACCCGGACAAGGGACGCGGCAGTGGAGGCAACAACGCCCACCACGTACTTCAGGCCCTGGACAAGTTCTACCCCTACCGCTACCGCGACGGCCTCACGCAGGACGGACTCAAGTAAGCTCTGACACCTAACCTAACCTTGATGTTTCGCTGTCAATCTGTGACGACTGACTCTTTTCTTTCGTTTCTCCAGGGATTTGCAAGATAGACTGATTGAAAAGTGGACAACCCTGAAGGGCAGAAACACCACCGACTGCGTGAGGATTTATTTAACGTGTACTCGGAAGTGGCCGTACTTCGGAGCCGGGCTTTTCCAGGCCAGGGTAAGTACTCGTCCATTCCAAGGGGAAGTGTTTTCCTCCAATTGTGTCCCCGCTAACGCCATGTCCGCCGTGCTTCAGTTCCGACAGGCCGAACCGGCCGTGGTGTGGCTGGCCGTGGCGGAGGACAGCATCACGCTCTTGGAGCTCGGCACGATGCAGGCCCTGGCCCGCTACGCCTACACCTCGGTCGTCACCTTCGGCGGCTGCCAGGAGGACTTCATGCTAGTCGTCTCCAGTGACGACGCGGTCGGCTCGCAGAAACTGCTCTTCTCTCTGAGCAAGCCGAAGGTAAGTGTGCACTCAGTACTTACTTTCGCACTCAAAAGGGCGTACTCAAGTAATTTTACAGTGTGTGTACGAGTTTCTTAGCAGCTGCACCTGCCATTTGAACTAATTTTGTTGATGTTTCTTTACTAGATTCTGGAGCTGACGCTGCTCATCGCCGACTACATGAACGCCATGGGCCGCGCGCTGCCGGGGACGCCGCAGATGGGGTCTCTGACAAGGAACAGCTCGCACCGGTCGCTGCGGTCCAGGGCGGCGGGCCCCCAGGTGGCCACCAACTCGATCGGGCCCTCCACCGCCATCAACACGCTCTCGTCCATCGGGTCGCACGCCACGCACACCCTGCACGGCACCTTGTCGTCGCAGGGACACACGACGCTGTCCTCGCTCGGCACGCTGGGCACCCTGGGCACGCTGGGCAGCCACCACCCCCTCTCCGGCAACACCACCCTGTCGTCCGTGGGCAGCCACGGACTGCATCTGAGTCACGGCCACGGCGGCCACGGTCCGTCCAGCCTGACGCACCAGCAGCCGGACATCCTCAAGTCCACGCCGGACCACTCGCCCGGCGGCCTGCACCGCTCGGACTCGAAGAAGAGGCACCAGCTGGACGGAGGGCTCACATGATGTCTACCAGCATCTCTGCCAGGCAAGGAGACTGAGTGCTGAGCCTGGCGGAGGTGCTGGTGGAAAGAAGGGCCTGTGAGATGTGGGGACCGGGAATGGTCGTTTTCCTTCCTGCAGACTGATTCTGTCCCTCTCGCGCGCATGCGGAACGCCCCATGAGTGCGAGAGAGACAGAGCGACGGAAACGATTCTCGGAATCAGTCTGCGCTGTGTTTCTTGTAGCGGTAACCGTTTGTGTGGTGATCTCTTAGTCCAATTAGGTTTAGTAGGACCATGTGACCAACTGGAGTGAAGGCGCTCCTTCTGTACTGTATCAATTTGCCAAGCCAAGTTACAGATATTACAGGCGTTTAAGCCATGCGAATGAACTACACAGTAAAAAACTGTATCTTAAAACACTGTGATTGACACTTACTCTGTAAAATAGTGTAAATATTGTAGACTCTTATTTGAAGGGCAGCATCATAATACATGAATTAACTAATTTATTAAGTAGAAATTGTGTAAGTCTGACACATTAAACTGACTTTTAGTGACTAATTTTAGTCATTTTATAATAAGGCAGAAAACTTTATTTGAGGTCTAGTCGTATCCGTGTAACAAGCGGTCCCAGTGAGAAAGCTAGCGTTCGGTAACCCCTTTTAACTTGTTTTTTTTTTTTTAAAGAAAATTAGTTAACACTTGCTATTTCTTGCTGGGACGCCCAAGCGGGCTATACTACGCCAAACTAAGCCAAGTCTGTGAATAGATTTATATATTGTTATGAACCGCTAGTCATCTTTTGGTCATTATTTATTGTATATTGCTAGGTTTATTATTTTGTCTCTCTATTATTTTGAATCACATTCAAGTTCATTTTGTTTTACCTTGTGTACCATAAAATGTTCAGCAATTTTTGATGTATGATATGATCACATTGCAATGGAAAATGTGTCATTGGAATGTAGAGCATGTGTCTTTGCGCACACTGAAACCGAGGCTTAAAATATTGTCGAAGTAATTTTATAAATTAAAAAAGATGACCCATAATGTTTTGAGTTGTTTTGTAACATTCAAAATATAACTACAATTCTCAACAAAGAAATTGCTATTTTTCAAGACCTTATATTTTTTTTACCCAGCAACGTTCTCTCGCGCGGTCAGGAATCGGTCGGAATTCAATATCCCGAAGCTGTGCCACAGAAGGAAAAAGAAATAGCAACAATAATCACATGCGTCTCACCGTCCACAGACAACTCACCGTCCACAGCTTGTTCAACTCAACCAAACTCAACTAGTGTCCCGGGGAAAGGTCACACATATTAAAATGCGCTGACCATTTTCCTCGAAAAAATGCGAAGGCGTGGTTTTTTTACCGTTTTTGGAAATCTAAAATGGCTCAAAATCCAGTACGTTGTGCTGGAGTACTCCCTATAGGCTCCTCATACTATTTCGAGGGCTATTTCTGCCGTAAACGATCTTTTACTGGCGAAAAACTGGAGCTCCAGAACCCACGGGGAAAGTCATTCCATCACGAAATAAAATGCGTCAAAGGCCATGGGAGGGTCAATATATGACCAACTTACTCAACTTCAATATCTACTTCATAGATATGTGTTTGTGTAATTTTTATTAGTAAGGATGAGCAGCGAAAGTTAGAGAAATGAGGAAGGAATGAATAAAAACTACTCAGCTTTAAAGTTGTCAACAGTTTATTCAGACGTCTCTGTCAATCAGCAACCTCACTGTCACAAAGCTAGACATTTGACATGACAAACGCAGAGGAGGAAACCATCTTTGCAGAATACAAGGCTGGAAGAAACTTTATTGTCAACTGTCCTATAGCAACATAAGATGTTGCTGCTCTGTAGTTGGTAAGCTTTTCCGTTTGTACTTGTACTTGTACCGTCTGCCTTCAGTGGTCCATTTTGCTCAGAATTTGCATAGGCAGAGGTGCTGAAGTCAGAACTTAAGAAATCTTTATTACATTTTTTTCTTTTTTGAAACAATGATAAAAATGGACTGTGTTGCGCAATGCCACTGGTATACAGCGCATTTCTTATTTTCTCTGTCAACACTTACAATGTAAACGACAACCCTTTTGTATTTTATGCTCTTTGTGAAACCCCCCCTCACCTGGACCATGCCCATGGTTACATAAAGGAACAACCATTGCACCGTAGCTTTTCTAGTTACTAACTTTGCTATGCTTGGGCATTCCCCTGTCTCAAAATCACACTCGAATTTTCCTCTTCATTCAATCATCATCATCACGTTACCAGGAGACAACCCGTACACAGCACAAACACAGAATACAAACACACTACGCTAGAATGCTGCAGTCCTTCTAAATTTATTCGCGTTGGAAAAAACATGTCTGAAGAGGGTGTCGACACGTTGGGGCTAATTTTAAGAAAATCATCATCAGTCACGGCAATTGCGGTCAATGGAACGAACCCATAAAGCCCACTCAATCACATATTTAGTTTCGTCAGTAAGTCTTTCAAAACTGACTTAAATCATTGGAAACAATCATAAATATTCCAAACGGGCGTTACAAATCATCCATATTTCCTTTAAAATGTTTCATTCCATAAATGATGGAGCCGGAAAAACATATCTTTCTTCTTCAGTATGAAATGGAGTGGAATGAAATGGATACTTTACGGCTCCATGTAGACAAACAACATTCATGACCAAAAACTGCCCTATTTTAAAAAAATATACTATCTACAACCAGGCTGAAGTCTTACGAACACTTCGGGTCCAACTGCAATCTACAGAGGAGGCTGCCGGGTACCCATGGAAGATCTACCGTGACTTCAATAAAACGTTATCAACTAGATTAAGTAGGCAGCAGAGCGAAGACCAAGACATGGAGAACAAGCTAACATGAACAGCCTATGCGAAAGTAAGGGGCGCTCACAGTGAGGGTAGGGTAGCCTGCCCGACCATCCGCAGGGGTGAGAAAGCGGAATTTTACTTAGTCCGATTCCACTGCACCGGTCCGGGTGACGAGAGGACACCAGGCGCGCATCAGAGCAGGCAGGCAACCCAACCCGCAACGTTGCATTCCACTGGGCAGAACAAAATGCAAGGGTTTGGGGGGCGCGAGTGCTGGGCCTCATTCGAACTGATATCCGGACCCAGTACGGATTGAAGCTACTACAATGGAGTATGAAATTAAGGAGGGAAACATACTCTATTTTCAGCTCAACAAAGCAGAGAACGCGTTTCACTTCTCCGAAAAGATTTCTATGTTTTCCCTTGATGCTTTGTTTTTAAATCCAAAATCCTTCTTGCGTCCTTTTCTCAGCACTGTACCTCCTGAGAGATATGGCCAACGGATACTGGGTCAAGTTCACTTCCATACAGAAACTTAACTGACATAATTGCTAAATTATTAAGACAGTGTATCACAGTTACACTAGGAAAACAATCATTGGGTCATAAACACGGGGCTGGTAACGGCGGGACAAGGAAACGCGTTGTGTGCATTTCGGTCCGGATCGTGGCGGCAAAGTTTGCAACCCATGTTTACAAAATTACCAGAGTAGAATTTGTGCGTTAAATACAGGCGCAATGAACACAGCTCGGTACCAAATTAAAGATAACGGCTACGGTTGAATATTTGTCCTTGCATTTACACCTTATGTCTCTGTGGTGGGAGTGAAATGAATTGCTCTCTTTCTCTCTCTATCTTTTTGTGCGGCAGTAGGGAGTCCCTGAGAAACACAACCACCCAACATGCGCCAGGTCTTTTAGTTGCGTATAACGACCTTTGGTTTATGCTTCCGCTTGAGTTATAAACTTTACCATTCAAGGATGATTGAAGCAAGGGAACCTGAAAAGAGCTAGCTGTGTTACATTTTAACCCTTAAACCAATAGCACAAACGACCATCTACAAAGTTCAAGACAGCAGATTTTAACAAGGAGAAAAGAAATCGTTTTTCCCCCCTCCGTTTTAGGCCTAGTGTGGGGCAGCCGTCGAATGCCACCCTCAAACGGCTCGAACAGCGGTTGTGGCCGCTCCGTTGAGCGAGCACTTGGAATGAGTTCTTAGTCAATTTAGTTCAGCAGTATGCATGGTTTATTCCTAGTATTTTGAGTCAAAATTAAGTGGCTTAGTTAGGGTGAGGAAACAAAGATTAATTAAAAATGGCTCCATTTATTAACTGCTGCTTTATTCAGATTAACCGGGGAGAACATTTATCATTGAAAACAGACGATATTATTTTTTCCGTTTAAAAATATTAAACAAATTTTATTTTTTGACACGTTTAGCGCACCGTTACGTCGATGCAACTGGTCTGCGTTTATTCTATGCGTTCTGTATCTCAACTGGCAGCATGCAATTTAAGGGGTGGACCGCGAACCACAACGGTGTCTGCAGTTGTTGCAATCCTATTCGTGCCATTGCGTCCGAGACTGCTTACAAGGCGATGCCACTCAAGGCAGAGCCGGGGTAAGCAGCAATGACGCCAAGCAGTTTGCCTCCCCAGCCTGCCTACATATGCAAATTATCGACAAGAATAAACTGTCTGAGGCAGGCAGACTGCACGAAACCGGTGTTCCCAAGTTCACCTGCCCATGTCACGTCACTGAAAGGCAATCACAGGCGGCGGCAATTCACAAAACGTTTGGAACCCACCGAGGTCCGTCAGGTTTGTTTTACTGTAAGGAATCAAAGAGAAAAGATTAAAACACAAAAACAGAAGGGGAGTTTGTCACGTGCCTTGCTAATTCTTTCATACAGTGACGACAAATACGACCAGTGGAGGCAGATTAGTATGGGCACGATGCCTGTTTAACACAAATTTATTTAGCAGGTTATAAAAACAATTGTGTTCCCTATAGTATTATTGCATTTAGATATATGAAACCGCACTACGTAGCAACCATTCAATGACACTCCCGAACCAATTGCTACACATTTGAGAACTGGGGAGGCCAAGTAGGAATTGCTGCCAGAACGGCCAGAACATGCACCGAAATTAGATTACATAACGCGATTGTTTTGTTTAAGTGTTATTTTCACGTTCGTGGTTTATTTAGTCCTAGGTCGTTATATTCCCTGGCAAATTGTTAGTGACCTGGGTGCACTAAACTACCATGTTTGACGGCAGTATTTAGTACGTAGACAGTTTGCAAGAGGAAAGAGGGCGAGCAGAGTGGCAACAGAATTGATCCAGTCGATACCCCTCGGCGGGAGCCAGGCATAGAGTCTCCCGCGCGTGGAGTAGCTTTGGCCCAACGCTTTTGCCAGTTAGCGAGCACGACTATGACGATCTGCGGGAAGCAATACCAGGCCTCCGAAAGAGACGATCAACTTGCCTGGAAATTCAGTTTGATGCACTTTGTCCATATACACAAAAGCCGGCAAAGGCCAGCGATGCAGGTACGAGTGAACCTTTGCCACTAAAGAGCTGCCTGCACTGCATTGCGGTTACGAACAGGATTGAGCAATAATGATACGAAATATTATGGGTGAGGTTATGGCCTGTAGTATCCACCGCCAGCTCATTAGTAAGGCACTGGAATACTCGATAAAAAAAATAAAGCGCCACAATACATGCAATCAAAATTTATGTCGTTCGTGTCCATGGTCAACCCATCCTTTCCAAAATAACAATCTATGAATAATACTTAGCAACAAATAGCACTTCATCCCATGCTCATTTCGTAACGAATTCTCATTAAAAATAGGTGTTACAAATCTGAAAATTGTTTGATTTTTCTCAACTGGTTTACAGCCACTCGTGGAGGTTTTGATTTCGACACGCAGACTTTAGGTACATTAACCTATTGATAGGGGACAAATATAGAATACTGCAATTTATCATCGCATTTAGGTATTTACAGGCATGGCCTCCACTCGTCGGACTGAGACAGCGGTTGGCACCACATGTGCCGACTTAGGGTGATGCCAAATAAACATGATAAATATATCGGTTTCACAAACTCCATTGCTAACAGTTACATTTAAAGTTTTCACAAAACCACGCGGGGCCATGAGTCCCAGTGTTTTGCTGCAGTGGTTTAGATAGTTTGTGTAGGTCGTACCAACAATAACAACAACAACAATAAACAACAAAGTCAGTTAGCAATGCCTTTTGTACCTTTCGTACCATAGACTGGAATGACCAATGCTTATAACAATCCTAACTTTGAACTTTTCTAACATTAGGAATAACAGGTAACAGACCTTGGCTAAGATCCAGTCCCACTGCATGCAAGCCAAGTAAGAAAAGTATAATACCTAAGTCTTAATCGTCGTCTAGCTACTATAAAAACCTACGGATGAAGTAAGAAATGACATCTTCAAAAGTGGATTTCAACAATTATTTTTCTTTCGAATCAGTTCGAAATACCTACTAAGCATCAAAGGTTGAACAATTTCAGGACACACATCCATTGGTAAGGCTGTATTAGCTCTATGACCAAGACAGGTATACGTTTCCTGCTGGGAGGAATAGCTACTTAGTTCAGTCGAGGACGCCCTCTTCGCCAGTCAGCCAACCATAATCTTGTAACCTACAACATTTTTTTCTACCACACCCAATCTTTGAAAACAGTATGTTATTACAAACGAGACAAAAAAAAATTGTCATTTAAAAAGAAATAATTAAAGTCCATTACTAATACAAGGAACTCCGAAACTAAATATCATACAAAATTAACAGTTTCTTAGAGTCTATTAAGTCTAGTTTTAAAATGATTTTTCATCCTCTAACACGCTTTGACGCCGTCGCTACGTCACGACACTGGGCAATATTACAACTGCTGTAGTCCTCTTTCCTAATCGGTTCGTCCTTCGCATCACTCTCCGCACCACCAAGGAGGGCGTGCCCGTCGCCAGGCTCCCCGCCGCCAGGCTCACTGGCCGAGCTGTCACTGGTCGAGGCTGTCCGGGCCTCCGCCGGAGCCTGATGCGCGGCCGCGGACTGTGCTCTTGCCACCGGTGCCACGTCCGCGGCCACGGCTTGGGCCTCGGCCGCGTGGACGTCGCCGACCTCGGGCTGGCCTCAACCCTGGGGGCCACGGCCACGGACTTCCTCGCCGGCGAGGAGGTCGGGGCCCTGGCCGCCCTGGCCGCCACGGCGAGCTGGTGCAGGATGAAGACGGCGACGAGGCCCAGCAGGCAGAGGTCGGCCGACACGGACGTCGACGAGCTGCTGTGCGACGGCCGGGGGCGGGCCAGCGGAGGTGGCGGCGCGTACTGTGTGGGGGCGGCGCACGCCGACGGCAGCGTCCGCTCCCCCGGGGGCGGCGTGGGCGCCGGCGGGGGCGGGTCGCAGATGACGGGCTGCGGCGTGTCCTCCGCAGGCCGCTGCGCGCACGAGGAGTTGCTGAGGCACAGGTACGGCAGCCCGCGCTCGTCACAGTGCTTGTAGCAGCATTCGTCCTCGTCGTACAGCGAGTTGGCTCGCTGGATGCCCGACTCGGGGATGTTGGGATCTGCAAAAGCAAGGAGCGCCGTGTTAGCGGGATTCCGTTGGCCGCATCGCAGTCAAAGTGCAGCGCCCAGCAGACTGAGAGTCGTTTTCGTCGATCTGCCTCTCTCGCACTTATGAGGCGTTTCGTACAGGTGAGACAGAGCGATAAAAACGACTCTCGGAATCAGTCTGCCTGCAGCTGATGATACTCACCCACGCAAAGAAAGGTCGGCTCCCCGGCGTACTGCGTGGGGTAAGACGGTGCGCGGTCCCCGGGCAGGAAGAAGGGGCACTTCTGCTCCACGGAGCGGCACACGGATCTGCAGGGCCGCACCCGGGGGCCGCCGGGCCGTGGAAAGTGGGGCACCAGCGAGCTGCACACCCAGCGGCGGTACGACTCCTGCAACAGGGTCAGCATGGTCAGCACGGTCAGCAAGTGCAGCGAGGTCAGCTAGGTCAGGAAGGTCAGCACGGTTAACATGGTCAGTAAGGTGAGCACGGTCAGCAAAGGTTAGCACGGTCAGCACATGGTCAGCACGGTCAAGGTGAGCATGGTCAGCACGGTTAGCACGGTCAGCAAGGTCAGCGAGGTCAGCACGGTCAGCGAGGTCAGCACTGCAGGAGCGCCGTGCGGCGCACCAGCTCACATAGTGACTGACTTCATGGCAAGGGCGGGACAATAGATTTAAAGAGAACCGGGACACGGTGTGTGTAGTGTCCTTTGGCGGGCTGGGAGCGGCTGGGAGCGTTGCGAACACGAAACGGCATCGCGACGCCTCCCAGCAAAAGATCCCTATCTTCAACCTGAGGGGAAAGAAGTGGCCTCTTCGGCTGGGAGGCGTCGATTTGGCGCGTCCGCGGGGGTGGCGCCGTCGCTACTCCACGCGCGATAGACTCACGGACCACCCGCGCGTGGGGTAGCGGCGAGGTCGTTCGTTTTCCTGCCGGACCCGTAAAGCAGAGGCCCGTTTGCGGCCCGAGCTCCATTTCAAGCCAAGTGCCATCTCGCATGTTCTCGCTCCCCACAACACAGAGGGTGAGTTAAGGCTAGGCGACGCAGCCTAATCATGGCACAGAATGCAAGTGTCTCCGGTGGACGGTGATAACGGCAGTACAAACAACAACAGTATGAACAGGAAATGAAGTCCATTCACCGGGAAAATCGTTGCCAAATTTTCTTTCCACTCTGATTTTCACCAACCGTCTGAAGAGTACGCATCACTCAGTGCAAAGGATTGTTGCAAAAATCTTTTCAGCGCGCGTTTGCCGGCGTTTGCTCTGACCTCTCTGGCGTGCCTCGGGTACCTGCACTGGTTGCGGCCAGTTGCGGCGTGGGGATGCCGGGAGAGGCCTGGCGCTGACTCCGAGAGCAGCTTCCGTCGCTCTGTCTCTCTCGCACCTACACCGGACGCCCCGTGAGTCCGACAGAGACAGAGCGACGAAAGCGACTCGCGGAATAGGTCTTCTGGGCTTTGCTTCACTCTGCCAAATTACACGGCATAACGTCCAAGTGACACAGAGAAGTTGTAATGGACGCATCCAGACAAGTACATGCCCCCCCCCCTTTATGACGCCGCCCTCCGAATCTCTGGCGAGGACTTCCTTCCTTTGAGTGTCTTCTGAATAAAGCGTTGCCAAGCAGCGCGGCGCGCGCCGCTTTTCTGCTTGGCTCCGAGCATCATCGGGGCGAGAGTGCACGGTGGGCCAGAAGACCGGTGGAGGCAGCCAAAACTCTAGACGCGTTTTGAGCTCCAGAGTCGCTAAACAGGACTCGAATAGAACGTTAGACCCCACCAATGGATTCCCCGTTCGAAGAGCAATCCATTCACATGTTCGGTTCGTGCCCCATTTTAGCGTCCAGAGTTTTGGCCACCTCCGGGAAGTGTGAGAGAGCGAGAGGTGATACATTTTCTGACGGTTTCTCGAACGCGGCAGGATTATTGGAGCCGTGCGGTGCTGTTTAATTTTGGGCTGGCCAATCCAGTTACGCGTCCCACCACGCCGCGCCACCGTCTGTCTGACGCCGAGGATCCGGTAAGTTGATTACGGCAAGCTTGTCGCAGGCAGGCGTAAAGGGGGAGATAAGAGGGGTAGTCATGCTGCATGCTGGCCTGCCTGCCTGTCTCCGCGAATTGCCGGCGTTCTCAGAGACACGGCCACGGTTCTGCGAGGACCGTCGCGACGGAATTCCATCACGAGGAAAGATGCAGTGGAGTGGTGCAGCGAATTGGCCGGGCCGACGGGGATGCGGCTCTGCTTTTGTGAGACGTTCCTGGTTCAATCGCATCGTCAAAGGCGGGGTGGGGCGGGGCGGAGGGGCGGGGCGGAGGGGCGGGGCGCGGAGGGGCGGGGCGGGTGGGGAGGGGAGGGGCGGGGCGGTGAGTCAGAGTTCCCCGACGCGCACGGATTTCCGCCACCGCGTCCACCAAAGCAGCGACCGCCGCTGACCTGACCGCGCTACCACACGCTGATTCCGCACAGAGCGTTCGTCGCCGTGTCTCTCTCGCACTCATGGCGAGCCGCGGGGCTGCCAGAGAGACAGAGCGACGAACCGCCGATCGGTATGAGCGTGCTGCGTTGGCGAGGTGCAGGGCGTGGCGGTGGTGCACCGCGGCTAGCGCACTAGCGCGCGCGCAGCGAGGCCCTTTCGCGCCTTTGACACTGCGTGCGGCGTGCGTGCGGCGTGCGTGCGGCGTGCGTGCGTGCGGCGTGCGTGCGCGTGGCGCGTCACGCCAGCGCCGCGTGCAGCGAGACTGGTTCCATCCTGGTCGCGCCTCCCACGCAGAATCAATAGCGGAATGGCACGGGCCGGGCCGGGCCTGGGCCGGCACGCCGCTCCGCTCCGGGCGGCTCCGGGCGGCTCTGCGCCGTGCCGCTCAGGGCTGGGCCGCTGGGCCGCTGGGGTGAGTTGGTGGCCGTATTTGGGTTAGTGGGGAGTGCCGCGGTGGCGCCCTACGCCCTCCGTCCTACGCCCTGCGTCCTACGTCCTGCGTCCTACGCCCTGCGTCCTACGCCCTGCGTCCTACGCCCTGCGTCCTACGCCCTGCGTCCTACGCCCTGCGTCCTACGCCCTGCGTCCTACGCCCTGCGTCCTACGCCCTGCGTCCTACGCCCTGCGTCCTACGCCCTGCGTCCTACGCCCTGCGTCCTACGCCCTGCGTCCTACGCCCTGCGTCCTACGCCCTGCGTCCTACGCCCTGCGTCCTACGCCCTGCGTCCTACGCCCTGCGTCCTACGCCCTGCGTCCTACGCCCTGCGTCCTACGCCCTCCGTCCTACGCCCTGCGTCCTACGCCCTGCGTCCTACGCCTACCACCCCCTACAAGGGAGGCCTGCCGGGAGCGGCCCTATAGGGGGCCGACAGGCCGACGGGGTCCCGGCCCCGTGCAAGGCCCTGGGCACGCCGCGCAGCCTCCGGCCAGCCGCCCTGGTCCTGTGCCAGGCAGGGGTGCTCCGGACAGGTACCCTCCGGGTACGCGTCCATCAACAGGTATTTTGACGACGGGTACGCACGCAAAGGCAGGCAAGGCGAGCGAGGCAGCACCGCGTCGTGCGTGCAGCGCGGGGCCCTCAGCAGCCCCACCCGGTCGCGTCCGACCGTCCGGCCCGCCGCGAAGGGCGGCAGAGAGCTCTCCAAGGGGTGCAGGGTGGCTGTGCCCCATGCCGCCCCATGGTGGCGCTGGGGGTGGCGGTTTTGCAGGGTGGGGTGCGGCGGATCGGTAAGAGGGGAGGGGGCGGGGGTGCCCGCCAGACCGTCCAAAGAAGCCGCGAGCAGCGTGGCAGGGCGTGGCGGGGCGTGGCGTGGCGGGGCGGGGCGACGTGGAGGTCAGGCGCAAACACGCTTTCCGTCACGTGGAGTATGGGCGGCGCCAGAGCCGACTTTATAAGCGGCTGCTTTCTCAAAGTGTCGGTGCGAGTGTTTGGAGAGGCACCGGGCTCCGCTGGATCCCATCGTCGCTTCGGCCTTCTTCAGCCTGGTGGTGGACCACCAACCGGACCCAGGGTCATCCAGCGTCCTGGAGCGTCCGGCGCGGTGCCGTCGTGGCAAGGCCTCACCGGCGCGGCCCGCGTCCGCAGCACGCACGGACGGAGTCAAGGAGGTGCTTTTGACGAGGGTCGGCCTCGCTGCGTCTCACTTCGCCGAGCCGGCCGGAGCCAGGCCAGTGGACGGCCACACGGCAGGCTGAGATCGCGGTGGCCAGCGGTAGCCGACGGCCGAACCGCACCGCTTCCAGTGCGGGCGGCAAACACCCCGTGATTACTTGTTTGTTGTTTGCGCTCTGCACGAGGCCGTCCTCTTCTCCTGTTCGGCCAGGTGCCCGGGGGTGCCGACCACGCCGACGTGACGGCGATGGCAGCTTCGGCTCGGCAAGCTCCAAGTCGTCAACCAGGCTGAAGCCTTCAGCCCCGACGACGGCCAACAACTTTTCGGCACGCTGTGTCGTCGTCGCCGCCCGCACCGCCCGCCTCACGAGGGCAGCTTGTCAGGGAGGGCTTCGGTCCCTTGGAGCCTTCGAGGAGAGGAGACGGTGCCCCGACCCGCCGCGCCACGCCGCGCCCACGACACAAACGTCCTTGGTCCTTCGCGCCGCCGATGAGGGTCCCGAGGGTCCGAGGGTCGTCCTGAGTGTTGCCCACCTTGGAGGCGGCAGGGCACTGGGCGGGGCCCTGGGCGGGGCACTGGCACACTGGCAAGAGGCAGGAGATCGCTGCTGCGATCGCTGCTTTCGCCACCGCGACCCTTTCCGTTATTGGGCCCTTGTCGAGCAGCCCTATTCCGCATACAGAAGCCCTCTCCACCCGCTGTCAGTCAGGGTGACTGATTGCGCCGTGTCACACGTGCCCCCCATTCACACACACTCGCACTCACACACTCGCACCACTCTCTTTTAAAGATACACTCACACACACACGCGCACACACACACATCATGGGTGGGCTCGTCTCCGACTAAGGCTTACTGACCGGCTGCTTCAGGGTCAGAGGAACAGTCTATGTCGGGGCGAGCTCGGCTGGCGCCTACAGCTACAGCGCGCCTGACGCTGAGTCGGGAAGGGGGGGGGGGGCGTCACTGGGTCGGCGCGGGAAAAACTGCCGTCGTGTACAGCTCTCCGCGGGCAGGAGAGGTGCCCCCCGACGAAGCTCGGGACGGTGGTTGCTCCCTCACTTTGCGGTGGCCGTGGTGTGGGCATGCCGTCCGGGACGGCGGCAAGGCAGCTCGGCGGCGCTCAGCTGACGCTTGGAAACGGTGGCAATGGGCGGCGCGGGCGTCGAGCACTGCACGCCAAGGCACTGCCAAGGCACGCCACGCCCCGGGCCGTACACAGACGGGGCCACAACGAACCATTCACCGCGAGGCAATGCACTGCATATGCCTTACGTCGATTTTTGGTGCGAGAGA